TAATAATTATTTTTATTTTATGTGTATGAGTGTTATGCCTGCATGTGTGTAAGTGCACCCATGTTGTGCAGTGCCCACAGAGGACAGAAGAGGGTGTCATATCCCCTGGAACTGAAACTGGAGTTACAGACAGTTGTTAGCCACCATGAGGGTGCTGGGTCTTCTGCAAGAAAAGCCAGTGCTCTTAACTACTGAGCCATCTCTCCAGCCCCAAGAGCACAGGTCCTCTTGCAGAGGACCCAGGTTCAGTTTTCAGCATCCACATGGTAGCTAACAACTGTCCATAACTCCAGTTCCAAGGGATCAGGTCCTCCTCTGGTCTCTGTAGGTATTGCATACATGTGCTGCACATGTAGGCAAAACACTCATACACATAAAAAAAAGTTATACATGGGGCTGGAGAGATGGCTCAGCAGTTAAGAGCACTGACTGCTCTTGTAGGTGACCTGAATTTGATTCCCAGCACCCACATGGCAGCTACAAACCGTCCTTAACTCCAGTTCAAGGGGAATCTGAAGCCCTCTTCTGATCTCCGCATCATTGCATGACATGGGTGCACTCACACACGTGCAGGCAATACACTCATACACATTAAAAAAAAAGTTATACACATAAAAAAAAATCCCACTCATACACATAAATAAACGCCTTGCATGGAGCCAGTATGGTAGTACACAGCACTCAGGAAGCTGAGGCAGGAGGATCACATGGTTAGATATCTCAAAAAAAACAACTTTGGAAGCTGAGGGTAGTGGTGCACACCTTTAATCCCAGCACTCAGGAAGCAGAGGTAGGCGGATCCCTGTGAATTCAAGGCCAGCCTAGTCTACATAGTGAGTTTCAGGCCAGCTGGGGCTACAGGGAGACCCAGGCTCAAAAAGAACCTCCCCAAAAAACAAGCCCTAAAACCTAAAAAGAACAGCATTGGGTGTGGTGGCTCATGCCTTCAATCCCAGCATTTGGGATGCTGAAGCAGGAGGATTATCTTGTATTTAGGCCAGACAGGGATACAAAGACATGTCTCAAAACAAAACAAAAAAAAACTTCCTGAAAGGAAGTGAAGTGGGAACTAAAAAGAGGAGCATATCGGGCAGCCCCAGTGGCACTGTGGTTCTAAAGCAGAGTTTGCCTGCTGACTCCTGGAGCATGCAGGAAAGTTATTTTGCCTTAAATTAGTCTAAGTGCCCTACACATATTATCTCATATATGTCATCCCCACTTTATAGATGAACAAACCAAAGTTCAGCAGGGGAAATAGATTTTCCCTGGTGAGTGTATGCTGCAGTGTGCCACTCCGATCCCCTGATTCTCTCAGCAGCTGAAAGTGATGCCTATTGATGGCTCTTGACTTAAGCCCTCTCCAAACAGAAGGGAAATGCCTTCCCCAATTTCATATCCACTTACTAGGAACAGCCTTGGACCAGAGACTGATTAAAGCTTGGTATAAAAACCCATCTCTGGCCAGGCGTGGTGGTGCATGCCTTTAATCCCAGCACTTGGGAGGCAGAGGCAGGTAGAGCTTTGTGAGTTCGAGGCCAGCCTGGTCTACATAGTGAGTTCCAGGACAGCTGGGGCTACAGGGAGACCCTGTCTCAAAAAGACAAAAAAAACAAAAAGAAGAAATGATATAACAATAAGTTTGGCAAGGGCATGGAGAAGTTCAAGCAGTCAGGCACGGCTGCTGGGAATGTGAAATGGTACTCCTGCTTTGGAAAACATCCTGAACTCCTCAAAAATTAAATGGAGTTGTTAAATGACCCAACAATTCTATCCCTGTATACATACCCAAGAAAAATGACCACACAAACTTGTATGGAATGTTCATGAAGAGTACTATTCAAAAGGGCCAGTGTGATGGCTCAGTGGATAAAGGCACTTGCTGACAACCTAAATTCAATTCCTGGGACCCATGTGACAGGAGAGTACCCCCTCCACATATACATACAAAAATAAATACAAAAAAAAACCAAACATCTCCTTGGTCTCAATTTCAGAAAACTGTGAAGGGCCAACCCAGCCCAAGCAGTTCTGTGAGATGAGCTACAGCCCCTCTCATGTCTGCATCATAGCCACCCTCTTCCTCTGACCTCTGTTTCTCTCTCCCCAACTACCACTGAAGCCCCCTGCACAGAAATAGGCACCCAAATCTGTTCAGAGAGCCCACCCTAGCTGCAGGCAGGCAGTAAAGTTAATTTCCCTTACTTCAAACTGTGTACATTTGTAACACAGATAATATAAAGGTCAAGGCAGAGATGGAGAGGGCTATAAGAAAGGGCTACTCATACCCTTTCTGGAGCACAGCCTGGGGACAGGAGTCATCTACCTGTGACTTGGTTTTTCCTGTTCTAACCACACAGACTTGAGCACAGCTGAGATACGACCGCTGCTTCAGGAGCCAAACCTACCCCATGGTCACTGATGACAACACTGCCGCCACCTCTTGGGAATAAAGAATCTGAAACTGTATCCAGTGAAAAATCCCTGATGTGGAGATGCTGAGGGACCAGTGTGGGAGCTAACTGAACCCTTCTTTTGAGGTCATGTAATTGGAAAAGATGGGCAACAGCCCATCTTTAAAGGAGTGGGGTGGGGAAAGAGATCTGGGAAACCAAACCACTGGTCTCAACCCAGACTGAGTTGGAATGCTGGTACCAATGGCAACTGTGAGATCTTCTCAAAGTCTTTCCCTGCATTGGGATGGGATCAGTGTACAGATCAGTAAACTGAGTCACAGAGATGCTGCCTTTTCTGGTCAACCAAAAGGTCAGACAAAAAGCTAGGCAGGAGCTTGGTCTCTTGCCCCCCTCCTTGTCTCTGGACCCAAGCTCCCTCCACCCCCTGACACCTACATACTCACAGTGAATTGGGACAATACTCAGGCTGGGGCAGGCGACGGCCCTGAGCCAAGAAGTGGGTGAGGTCAAAAGGGTTGATATGAGGATATGGTGGGGCGCCCCGTGTCAGCAGTTCCCATAGCAGCACACCAAATGACCACTGTTAAGAGAGGTGAGGGGATTCAAATCTTACCTCAAATTAGGGGGTAGGAGGGTCTCCAGATTCTCTACTTCCCAGAGTCCTTCAGCTAGAAATGTGAGACCCTACCTCTGCTCAGAGCTCATTCCTCAATATCACGCAAGTGTCTCCCCTCTGTCTCCCACAACCTCAGCCTTCCCAGAATTGCAAGCTCTGGACTGTTGGTGAGGAAACAGAGTTCACAGATTTCTTTAGCTCGGGCAGGTAAAGGCCAGATTCCATCTCACATCTGCCCAAGACATATGGATTGTGAGGGTTGCCTAACCTGGAGATTCTCTGGGCTCAGACCATGCAGAAGCAAGGCCAAGTGCTCTATGGCATGGAGGTCAAGTAAACCTAGGGTAAAGGATACTTTACCACATCAGACTTGGTGGTGAATCTGTAGGTCTGAAGGCTTTCCAGTGCCATCCACTTGACAGGTAGGCGAGCATGACGTTGCTGTTGAACACTATAGTAGTCCTTGTCCAGAATGTCACGTGCCAGACCAAAGTCAGCCACCTTGACTGTGAATGTCTCATCCAGCCTGAGAGGAGGGCATCACACATAGGCCTGACTCTCAATTGGGGCTATAACTCAGTGACAGAGCACTTGCCAAGAACTGACTCACACAAGGCCTTGGACCCACCTGTTCGAGGCCCTTTACAGAAACTTAGTGCCACAGTGTCCAGTTCAAGCCTATATCAGGCAGATAGAAAAAAGCCCAGGGTACAGAGCAAAGGCTGGAGTGGATCCTTTCTTGAGGTGGCTTTGAGCAGCTCCATGCCCTCATACACCTGTCCCTTTGCTTCACCCCAGAAATTTGAGCCACTTACATGCAGTTCCTAGCAGCCAGATCCCTGTGTACAAACTTCTGTTCTGCCAGGTACTCCATGCCATAGGCCACCTGCAGGCCAAAGCTGATGAGGTCCTTCACAGTGGGATTCTGGGGGTACAAGGAGACTGGTGAGTATGGACAGAGGCAGCTGCTACCTGACACCTCCACCCCTGGCCAGCTGAGCACCAACCCTCTGAGGTGAGCGGATGAACTGAAGCAGGTCTCCATGGCGCATATAGGGCAGCAGCACCCAGGGCAGCCCTTCTGGTGGCAGCACAATACCGATGAGAGCCAGGACATTTGGGTGGTGCAGGCCACGCATGAGCAGCCCTTCTCGAAGGAAAGCTTCTACTTCTTGCACCTCTGTGATACCTGTAAGGTAGCATAAGTCCAGTAAAGGGCAAGAAAGCCCTTTACAAGGATCAAATGGGGGAATGAGGAAAAAAAGTTCCTATTGAGGTTTGTTTTTATTATTTTTTATTTTATGTATATGAGTGTTTTGCCTATATATATGTAATTGCACCATGTGTGTACAGTGCCTACATAGGCCAGAAGAAGGCATCAGATCCTCTAGAACTGGAGTTATAAAGTGTTGTTAGCTGCCATGTGGGTGCTGGGAACTGAACCCAAGTCCTCTGGAAGAGCAGCCAGTGCTCTTAACCACTAAGCCATCTCTCTGGCAGCCTCCCACCTTTTTTTAAATTTGAGACAGGGTCTCACTATGTAGCCTGGCTAGCCTGGAACTCACTTTGTAGACCACACTAGTCTCGAACTCACAGAAAAGAAATCTGCCTGCCTCTCCCTCCTGAGTGCTGGGATTAAAGGCTTGTGCCACCACAGACATCTCTGTCTAGGTTCTTTTTTTTAAAAAAAAAATTTTTATTTTATTTTATGTGTATGAATGTCCTACATGGATGTAAGTGCACCCGTGTCATGCCATGCCTACTGGGCTAGAAGAGGGTGTCGAATTGGAGTTATAGAGTGCTGTTAGCTGCCATGTGGGTTCTCGGAAGAGAATCTGGGTCCTCTGCAAGAGTAGCCAGTGCTCTTAACCACTGAGCCATCTTTCTACCCCCCACCCACAACCCCTGCCATCCACATTCTTTTTTTTTTAGCCTTTTTGAGACACAAGGTGTCCCTGTAGCCCCAGCTGTCCCAGCTGTCCTAGAACTCACTACATAGACCAGGCTGACCTTAAACTCACAGAGATCCCCGGGCCTCTGCCTCCCAAGTACTTGGATAAAAGGCTTGTGCCACCATGCCCAGGGCCATCTATTTTTTTTTCTTTTTAAGGCAATTTTTTTTTTGGTCTTTTTGAGACAGGGTCTCCCTGTAGCCCCAGCTGTCCTGGAACTCATTATGTAGACCAGGCTGGCCTTGAACTCACAGAGATCTGCCTGCCTCTACCTCCCAAGTGCTGAGATTAAAGGCGTGTGACACCACACCTGGCTAAAGGCAGTTTTTTTAAAAAAATCTATTATTATTTTTATTTTATGTGTATGAGTGTATTGCCTGCATATAAGTGTACTTGTGTCATGCAATGCCCACAGAGGTCAGAAGAAGGCATTAGATTCCCTGGAACTGAAGTTATGGATGGTTGTTAGCTGCCATGTGAGTTGCAGGGACTTGTCCCCAGGTCTTCTACAAGAGCAGTCAGTAACTGCTAAACTATCTCTCCAGCCTGCCAGCTAGGTTCTTAATAAAGTAACAGCAATAGCAAAGACCTTCCCAGTCTGAAGCTGCCCATCTACCAACCCAGTTTCTGCCCTACTTACGACTCAGTGACTTGATGGCACAGTGGATTTGATTCTGGGCCTCATCTGTGTATTCTCCATGGTAGACAACTCCAAAGTGGCCTAGAAAGAGGGAGATGATGAGAGGGACTGTAAGTGCCCAGACTTACAGCACACCCTCTAACTGGTAAGTAAACTTTAGAGCCATATACTGGCTAGCTTGGGGCTACAGGGAGACCCTGTCTCAAAAAGACCAAAAAAACAAAAACAAAGACAAAAAACAAGCAAGAGCCACACAATGGCAAAACTCTTTACAGCCCTCCCATGCCCACTTATCTATACCAGAAGTTACTCATGATCAAATTCTCCAAATCAAAGATAACCATATGGAGGTTCAGTGGTTAAATGGTATACTCAAGGTCACACAGGTTAGTGAGAGGCCAGAGCAGAATCTAATCCAACTGTCCCTTGAGCATATTTCAATCTCTACCCCAGCTCCTCTTCCCAATCTGGCTTCCACACCTTTGCCAATGACTTGATCACTATGGGTGACCACTCTCTCATGGGGAATCAATACATCCTTGACTTCAGACAGGAGCATACTGTCCAGATCTTTGAGCCGGATGGACTCTGTTCGCAGCAGTGGAACCCTGGTCCCATCCCTACAATCTGAAGATTCTTCATGGCTTTGAGGGCTGGATGCTGTACCATTAACTGCAGCGAGTGCTGTGGGGGAGAGAGTCTAAGCAGCTTGTGGGGAGGGGCAAGCCCTAGTGTCTAGAGTTTCTACCATCTCACCAGGGCCATTTCTGTAGTCAGAGCCAGAGTGAAGTATAGGCAGAAACATGGCTCCAGTAGACTGATCCAGGGATGCCAGGTCATCCAAGTTGGGAATAACAGCTATGAAAAGACAGTCCATGGTAGTGAGCCTCTCCAAACTCCTGGGGATCAACATCCACTGGGGAAGTGTGGGAGACCCCCAAGTCCTGGAAACTTGCAGATTCCACTGTTTGGGGGTACAGGCTGAGTCAAGGTGGGCATAGGGAGCTCACCTCGCTTTCTCCGCCTTCGGGAATTGAAGAACAGTGCCATGGCCAGTACAGCCACGAGCAGGATCAAGGCCAGTAGAGCAATAAGGAGTGTGCTCTGTAGGACCCCACCTGGGTCTGGCCGTATCACTTGGCCCAGGATATGACACCCACCATCCACACAGACCTGGAAGCAGATGGCAGTTTAAGCCCAGCCTGCAGACCCTAAGCCCATGTTTTCCCCAAGAGGGCAGGCTGGGTCACCTACCTGCAGTGGGACACCATACTTGCCAAGTTGCAGGGAGGGAGGCAGGGGACAGACCACCACATCCCCTCGGAGCTCGTGCTGGCAGCTCTCACCACCCACAGTCATATTTACACGCACGCAGTCTGCCACAGCGCCCAGCCCAATATACTGCAGAGACAGTCATAAGGACCAGCCAGAGGCTAGGCCCCCATCTCCTAATCCTCCATTGTCCCTACCACATCCCTTATGCTTACCTCAAACTTAACTGCATGCTCTTCTGGTTTCAGTGGCGCTAGACCAGCTCTGGGTGGGCTGGGTGGGGGTAGGAAGCGAAAGCTGGGCAGTGTGAAGCCAGCAGCTCCATCCCCCCAGGCGCTCAGATTTCCTGTCACCCATCCCTGCGGGTTTCGGACCACATATTCAGGCAAACGGCACTGATGTTGTTCTGGGAACTCCCCTGTACACTGCTGAAACCCATATGAGAGTAGTTAGGCAAAGGGTCCACCTCTGGCTACTTCAGTCTCCTCAGCCCAGTGTGGGATAAGTTTGGACCTCAGGCAACTGGTCCAACCTTTTCCCTCCAAGCCATACCCACTTAGCTCACCCTGTTCTCCACTGTATTTTGTCCATCATGGAAAGACAGCACTAGATGCCATGCTGAAGTCAGATGCTGGCCACGGATGGTGACATGGGAGCCACTGTGGAAAGTAGGGTAGTAGGTTTAGAGGACTCATTGAAGCTGGCTCTCTCATTCCTAGAGGCCAAAGTGGACAAGGTGGCACTTACCTATAGCCACAGCTAGGGCTGATGTCCAACACAATCGGGTCTTTCTTGTAGTCAAAGGTCCAGGAGCCAGGCACCTCAGCACCCCCTATCTGCAGGTGAAGGGGGACCCTTGCTGTGCCAGCTCCAGGGGGTGTGACACATAAAATCTGCTCCTCACTGACCCTGCAGGAAGGAAGAATCAGGTACAGGGCACCTCCTTATGATGGCCAGGTTTACCTCCTCTAGGGGCCCACTAATTCCTTCTGCTTCCTCTGTTGGTGGTCTCCCCCACCCACCTATACTCCATGGGTCTGTCTGAAGATAGGATGCTCCCAGGAAGACCCCCAAGAGGTCAGGATGCGAGCAGGTTCCCACAGCCCTGGCTGGAGCCAGTGACCTTTATGATGAGTTTTCTTGCCTCTGGGATGGAAGGACCAGCAGATTCTTCTTGGAACTGATCCTTATACTTACCATGTCACTGAGCCCTCTTCCTTACATACTGATAGTATCTAGGAACCCACCTAGTGAGATTCCCTTGGTAGGAACAGAGAAGTCTCACAAGAAAGAGACTACTTAATTATCCTAGCCAAGGAAGGCAAGGACCAGGTTGTATCTGATGCTTGAGGTAATCCTAGGCAGAAGCCAGAAAGAACTTTGGCTCACAGTGGTCTGATGGGTTCCCTCAGACATCAGACAAATAGGGCACAGGTAGAAACTGGAGCTTCACAAGGGCAGGGTCCTGTGATCGCCCATATTTTTACCTGCTGACACTTACTGTTCCAGCTGGCACTGAGTCCCATTGACTAACACAACACGGCTGGTGCCTATAGACAGGCTCTGGCCTTGAAGGGTGAGATAGGTACCCCCAGCCCGTGGGCCAAAGTCAGGTTTTACTGATGTCAGCACTGGCTCCTAAGAGGGCATGGAAATGGTTTAACTGGAACAATCCTTTCACTCAAAGGCCATTCCTCTTGTACCACCCAATGACCAAGGGCATAGACAGGATAATGCGGACTCACCATGAAAGAGAAGCCTTCTAGCACAGAGATGCCTTCCACCCGAAAGTGTTTGCCTGCTGGCATGTTCGTGATGATAAGGCTGATGTTTGTAGTCCCCACTGTCTGGGTGTCCAGGGGCTCCAGCTCACACTCAAGTTTGTCTACAAACTCCTTGCGGAACACTGGACTGGGGCACCAGGGAGGGCACCATGAGGTCAGACAAGACTGGATTCATGTCTGCCATAAGTTACAAACCTTCTCTGAGCCTTGGAATGGCATCTCCACCCATGCCTTTTTCCAGGGCAGGACTGAGTGGGGAAGAGACTAAGCTTGTCTAGTCCATAACTAAACAGACAGCTAGGGTACATGCAGGCTCAAAAAGCTACAGAGACATCTCAGATACAAATAACACAGCGACTATAGTTTGCCCCATACCTGTCACAAGACAGGGTCTCACAGGGAAGAGGATGCTTGGTTACCCCCATCAGGGAAAGGGAGGGTAGGGACCATGTTGTACCCAAAATTTGAGGTATCCTTAGGCAGCAGTCGGCACGGACTTTGACCTACGGTGATCTGGTGTGTTCCCTCAGGTACCACAGCACCAGGACGCAGGTAGAAGTTGGAGCCACACAGGGTGAGCCTTGTACTACCCCTTAAAGGTCCACTGTGAGGATAGAACTGGAGGAAACAGCCTGAGTTCTTATGTGGGGTTGGGCTCTCAGCCCTACCTGTTACCTCCAGAGGCCCCTGCTGTACTCCTTGCCTATCTCATACTCCAGTCATTCTGGGTTACTTGTTAGTCCTCATTCAGGCATTTTTCCGCCTTCTAAGTATTCTGAAGTGCTATCCCCTCTACCAAGAATGCCCTCCTTAGGGGAGGTCTAGGACATTCCAGACCTGAAGAAGATCATGGTCAAGACTTTTTGATCTTCCCACCCCAGGCCCTGCTTTCTCCACTACTCCTTGTGCCCTGCCACAGAAGCTATACCTCAGTAATCTCAGGTGGACAGTGGTCTTGTTGCCAGGAACCAGGACATTCCTTCTGCCGGCCACATCTGTCTCCACACCAGCCACAGCCCATGAAATGCTGTGCCCCCAGGCAACGCCAGCAGGTGAGAAAATGATGGCAGCCAGGGCCCTGGATAGGTACCTTAAAGACCTTGGGATGACAAACAGGTGTCTCAGGGATGGCTGGAGAAGGGAACTGCATAGACCCTCCTGGCCCCTTGGAGACCTACATATCAATGCCTCCCTGGATTTGACAAAGAGCTATGGTCCTACAACCCTGACCCCAGGCTCTGACCCTGAGCATCTCACCTGGTCCCCAGACACGAAGAGTAGGTCATCTCCAAGGCGACTAACATCCCGCTGGATGGGCTGCTCATTGCTGCCCAGTGAGAAGTTCGACACATACAGCAAGTAGTTGAGCGACCTGGCTATCTCCACCTGGGATAGGTCAGCTATGAGCAAATTGGGGCAAGGGACAGGAACATAGGGCCAGAGGGTAAAGGACCTACCTGCAGGATATGTCCATCTGCCGTGCCCATGTGGGCCACTGTGACATTGCCAAGGCGCGTCACATGCAGTGCAGTAACCTTCACTGTTCCTAACAGCCCATTGAATAGGTCCACACGTGAGAAGCTGTCACTGACCAGCAAAGGGAAGTAGCGGCACCTGAAGATGGAGCTGGAGACCTCTTCACCAGGCTGGGGAGGGTCAGGGAAGAGAAAAAGTGAGGGTTCAGGCCTACACACTCACCCTTAGTTGTTTTTGTCAGGAATTACAGCAGTCCCAATATACCACCTGTTACTTTGCTTGACTAGAGGAGGCCCAGGGCCTGCCATTTACCGACTGCCACCATGCCCATAGGTCTTGGAGATAGCAAGGACAGGGAAGAAAGGAGGCCCAGTCTGGAAAGCCAGATTCCCTACTCCCTGCCTTACCCTGCTATGTCCATTCTGATAAAGAGTTACAGACTCTTATAGATCCATCCCATTCTACCCTCACAACCACTCTATAGAATAGACACAGACTCAGAGAGGTTTGATCATTTATACAAGGCCTCACAGCTCCTCAAGATCCAAGGCCGAGGTTTGCACTTCTAACCAGAGTCATCTTTCGCCCCCTGCTGGCTCTACTCTGCTTTTGTGAGTCTACCTCAGCAAACCCCATCCCTTTGGCTTCAGTTTCTCTATTCTCATAGAGGACTAAATTTTGAGATTAAGTGGTCAGCACAAGGTTGGCAACATGGTCCCTCTCCCTGAGACCTCATAGGTCCTCCCATACTTCAAACTGTTACTAATACCTTCCTCAGGTAACAGAAAGAATAAGCCAAGGCATGGCCTGAATGCCAGGCTAAGACCCAGAAGTTGGAAGATACAAACCTCTTCTCTTCTCTTAGCAAGGGGATATTTGGGGGATCTGTATTTCTAGGATAGGTTTGTGGAAGCTTCTGAAAAATTGGGAAGGCAATGTATGTATTTAAGACACTAAGGCTGGGTTAGAGAAACAGAAAGACTCAGGAGAGAGCCCTAGGTACTAAGAACCTCCTTCAGATCACACAGATTAAACCCACTCCTGGACCTCAGTGCTGAGCAGGACAGGGTGAGGAAGCAAGAGCAAGCGCAGCATTGAGTCTAGACACCCCACACAATCTGGGACTACATCTTGAATGGGTGGGGACTGGGACTTTGTCTTCACTGGAGAAGAAAAGGGGCTTGGCCCTAGCCGGAAGCTTGCTAGGTGATTTCTCATTATGACTTAGGGACAGGTGGGGCTCTGGAGATAAAAAGTACTAACTCAGGCAGGGACACATCCCTGTTTGCTTGCCTCTAGGCCCCAGGGTCTTAGGTTTTGGTCCTAGTACTGACTAAGGGCCATAGCTCCTGAAAATACCTGCTTAAGTGTCCCATGCCCCACAGAGTTCCATACCCTACCTGAACCTATACAGGGGAGGTATTAGTCCTAGGACCAACCATTATGAGTAGACAGTGGTTGCTGTCCCAGTAGCCACATGCTTAAAGTCACTGGACAAACACTGATTTCCGTATCTCCAGGGGCCTGGCCAGCCTGTAAGAGAGCCCAAGATTAGTATTCCTGGTGCCTGGCACTACCCAGTCATGCTGGGTATCTTCTGATCCACTGACCACTAACCAAGTTAGGAGAGGTTCTGATTCCCCCAGAGAAAAGAAGATAGAGCCAAGAAAGGCTGTCCAGGCCTAGACAAGTTTTTACTCCTAAGGCTTCTCTCAACCTTGATATACTCAGCTGAGGGAGAGAGGCTAAAAAGATCCCCCACTCCAAGGCTAGGAATGTAGCTCAATGATAGAACATTTTCCTAACATGTGCAAGGCTGTGTACTGCAAAAAGGAAATAGAAAGAAATTTACACCAGGCCTGGTAGCATGTGCTTATAATACCAGCACTTGAAAGGTGAAGGCAGGAAAATCTTGTGTTTAAGGCCAAGCCCCTGAGCTAGAGTGCATTCAAGGCCAGGCTTCTTGGCTACATAATAGACTGTCTCAAAAACAAACAATAACAACGCAAAGACTGAAGATATAACTGTAGTTGAAGCCTGCTATTTATGAGGCCCTGGGTTTGGTTCTTTCATTTCTAAAATCAAAACGAAACAAATCAATCCTTCTCCCAACATTGAATGTAAATTCTCTACTTATAGGGTATTACTAGGAACTGGAAAGGAATCAGTCAAGAGTGTCACAGCCACTCTCAGGCCTGGTGGCACAGGCCTATTCCAGAGGCTGAAGCAGGAGGATTACAAGTTCAAGGATTGACTGGGCTTACAGGGTTGCAACTTTAGTGAGATTCTTTCAAAATTAAAAGTACAAAAAAAGAGAAGGAGACTAAAGATACAGAGCTCAGTGGTGAGCATTTGACTAGAATGTGTGAAGCCCTATGATTAATCCCCAATTACCAGTATGGCAACAAAATAATGTATTTTTTTAAAAAAAAAAAGGAAACAAGGCCGGGCGTGGTGGTTCACACCTTTGATCCCAGCACTCGCAAGCAGATCTCTGTGAGTTCAAGGCCAGCCTGGTCTACATAATGAGTTCCAGGCCAGCTGGGGCTACAGAAAGACCTTTAGAAGCAGGCAGATCTCTGTGAGTTCAAGGCCAGCCTAGTCTACATAGTGAGTTCAGGACAGCTGGGGCTACAGGGAGACCCTGTCTCAAAAAGACCAAAATAAATAAATAAATAAAATAAAAAATTAAAAAATAAAAAATAAATAAATAAAAAAGGAAACAAAAATGTGGTGGCACATACCTTTAGTCCCAGCACTTGGGAGGCAGAGGCAAGCAGATCTTTGTGGTTTCAAGGCCAGCCTGGTCTACACAGTGAGTTCTAGGCCGGCTGGGTCTACAGGGAGACCCTATCACAAAAAGACCAAAAAAAAAGAGAAAAGGGAACAAAAGTGTCACAGTAGGACCAGTGACTATGGCCTAGCTTGATGAAAGGACATTCATTTAATGCTCCTCCACTCATTTTCTTTACCTATTTGAAAGACTATTTGAGTAGCTTCAAGGAGTCAGTTTTGATTTAGTCCTCAAGTTAGCCTTTTTTTCCTGGTTCTCTGACCCAGGCCTCATGCCTACTAGGTTCTACCACTGAGTTAAGCTCCCCAGCCTCCTCAGGATAGCATTTTAAAGACTGTCCGTTTCCTGTTTGTTTCTGTTCTTCCTCCCTGACATCATACATGGGCCATGAGACCTTTTGTCTAGGGCAGGGCCTTGGCTACAGTGGTAGAAAGTCTGGGGTGGACTAATTCCAATCAGCCCCTCCTACACCTTTACTCATCCCTCAGATGCTTACAGTTGCTTGCACAAGACTGGGGTGAGGCTTCTCAGAACCTTCCAGAGCTGAAGCTACTTTCCTACCATATCCCAGGTCTTCCTCCAATAACTGGAGAATGGGCTAGTAAAGCATAGGTGCATAGGTGATGCTGGCTCCCCAACAAGCCCCAAGACTTATAAGCCTCCCTAGAACCTGGTGGGGTGGGGGGGTTCTCTGACAACTCCTGTCCCACCCCCTTTGGAAAGCAAAGCAAAACTAATATTTCCAGAGGAAAGTAAAACTCTGTTGGCAAACAGCTTGTGAATCTGTGTGACTGTAAGCATCTGCCTCTGTATTTGTGCCTTTGTGTGTATTTTTCTCCGCATTCCCTGAGGTCATTGTGGTGGGCAGATTGGAGGGGATGCCCATCATTTGATCAATTTCTAGAATTTAGAAATTGTACTGGCAGAGACGACTATGATGTAATACCCTCCTTACAAAACCAGGGAAACTACCTAAAAAAATCAGAGGCCATGATGGCTGACAGGGTGACAGAGCAAATGAGGCAGCTATAGGGGTCAGCCTCACACTGGGATGAACCTCCAGCATGGCTTCTGTTTGGCTGATTTCTCACACTACCTCCAGCACTTCAGAATTAGATGAGAGAATGCTTCTTTCTGCCTGCCTCCCCCAGCCAGGCCCTCTCAGCAGCCTGTGCTTCGCCTCATAGAGTACTCACAGGTAAAGGTCCCATTTTTTTTCTGCTCACCGGATTAGGGCAAAGACTGGGAGTCTGGAAGAAGTCGAGGCCTCGTCGAGGTGGAAGAGAAACTGTGGAGTCACAACAACGCTCCACGCCCTTTTCGATCATGGTATCCAGCTGGTAAATAGGGAAGGCGCAGACAACAGAGCTGGGGCCTGTGCCACGGCCACCATCCTTGCTAGCCACAAAGACTCCGAACAGCACTTTGTGGGTCTCTGAGATGCTCAGCTCCATTGCAAGTTTGGCACCCACTGGGGCAGCGTGGGCTGCTTGAAGCACAGGGTAGGACTGTATGGCCTCTGAGGCCCTGCGCCGGCGTTTTGGTGCAAAATGACAATCCAGGACCAGCTCCCGGTAGTCACCTATCTCTGTCTCCACAGCATTGAGCCGGACCAGATGTGTCTGCAGGGCACCAGGAGGGCTTGTGACACTGGTAGGTTGCACAGTCAGGAAGTAAACAAAGGCTCCTGAGTGGAAACTGTGTACATATTTGATTGGGTAGGAGGCGAGGTACTTGGGCAGCACTGACAGTGAAGGAAAGCCTTGTTGGAATCCAGAGGCATCAGCCTTGAGACGGCGGATGGACACTGAGTGTGGACTAAAGCTACTGGCCACTTCTGGATCCAGTGAGGATGCCACATAGAAGTAGGAGGCATGGCCCTGCTGAACCACAGTCACACGGGTGCCCAGGGGGCTTGCCACACAGTCCGGGCAGGCCTCAGGTCGGTTATGGTTGGCTGAGAAGAGGCAGGCTGGTGCTGCCAAGTGCAAAGCTGTTCCCCGGGGTTCCAGCTCATGCAGGAAGCAGCGGCCCTGAAGGGTTGAACCACAGCTGATCAGGGCTGGCAGACCAGGCTCCAGAACCAACACCAGTGTGTCTGTGTCATTTGGTGGTCCATGGGGACCTGGCCCACAGGTGGCACAAGTCTGGCAGCCAGGATCCCCAATAGGGCCAGTGGTCAGGTTCTGTATTGACTGCAGGTCAGGCCCAAGCACGTGTAGGTGATTGCGGGTGGCCACAAACACCGCACTCCCATCTTCATTGTCCTCATAGGCTGCTACAGCCTGTACTGGGCCACCTGCGGAGAAGCTGGGGACCACGTACTTCACATTAAAGTCTCGAGAGGCCGCAAAGGGTATTCCTGGGCATTGCCAGTCCGGGTCCATAGACACCACCGGCAGCCGCAAAAGAAGCATTAGCAGCAGAGAGGACTGTGGCGGAGGCAGAAGCAGGCCCATAGAAGTTGAGCTGGGGACCAGCGGATGCAGGACTTGGCTGGGACCAGACTCAGGTTTGAGCTAAACCAGCGTTAAGCAGCGGTCCTGAAAGCTGCTGGGGTGGCTGACCCTCCGGCCCTGGGTTTCTGTGAAACCCAACCTTTCCCCCTGCCCCCTTGTCTGAGCACGTTGCGGCAGGTACACAGGCAGGGGGAACGGAACAGCCACCTCACCTGCGGCCCCAGGTGCTTCTTCCAGCTACCTCTGCCGCCGCAGCCGCTGCTGCTGCTGCTGCTGCTGCTGCTGCTGCTGCTGCTTGGAGCAAAGTGGAAGTGGAAGGGCGAACGGACCTCCCGTGGGTGCGGCGGGGGGCGGGGCTACGGGTGGAGCCCTGTTAAAGGCCCTGCCCTCAGCCTGCTGGTCTCTTCCCAGTCCTAAGAAGGCTGTCTCTTATCTCTTCTTGGCTGTGTATTTCTCAGTGGTCTGTGTGTGGGTGCCTTTGGAGCGGCCTGGAGAGGGGTAGTCTTTAACTATCCCCCTCCTCTTCAGCCATAACCCACCAGGTTGAGGTGAGAAGGGTGCAGGACAATCTGGCTCTTCTCTTCCTATAGAGCGTATTTACAGCAACACCTTCAGACACAGGTTCTCACCAAGCGTGTGGGGAACAGAATCCAGGAATGCATGGAAGGACAGTGTGGAGATGTGTGGGGCTCCAGTACGGAACAGCATGGGGTACACTTTCTGTGGGCAGGGCCCATCATTCAGTATGTCTGCTCTGTGCAGTGCCAGAGGAAGCTGTGTTGGGTCCTATCCTGTATGCCCAGGGCCATAAGGATTAAAGTATGGGGTCTGACTTTGCTGGCTGGACAACAGAGGCAACTTATATGAAGGCCTAGCCCTAGCCCTAGTGGTCCTGTCAGTATGTGAAAGTATGGGATGAGAGTGCAGTGTGTGATAAAGGACTCTTCCCCCCAGTGTCCTCCTTATGTGGAGAAGTATGATCTCTGACTCCCAGGGGACCTTTAATCTGCTCTGTGAGCCTTCTTGCTGGGCTCAGTCTCTCAGAGTCTGAAATAGGAATCCAGTTCTGGTTAGATGGTTGCCAAAAGTTCTTTCTTCAGAATGGGTAAGGGAATGGAGCCAGTTCTGCTTTGCCATCTCCCTCACCTGGATCTCAGCAACTGTCCCTTGGCAAGTGGTCTTTCTCAATGCCAGAGGGTGATCCTGAGGGTGGGAGTTGGGTGGGGTGGATATCTTTAGCCTGACAGCCACCTTAGCTCTGTGAGCCTGAGCTCTAGAGGACTCATAAGGTGGGCTTGCTGTGGGCTGATGCCAGTGAGCCTCCTTAAGGCTATGGAGGGAGGAACTTAACAGGATTAGGTTTGGCCTGGGGAAATCTACCTCTTCCACTCTCACCTATGATACGTTTCATTGCCTTCAACCCTCCTCTTTTTTTTTTTTTTTTTTTTTTTTTTTGCTACAGGGTCTCTTTGTAGGCCCAAATGACCTGGAACTCACTATGCAGACAGGCTGGCATTGAATTCAACAGAAATCTGTTTGACTCTGCCTCCCAAGTGCTGGGATTAAAGACATGTACCCCCATGCCCAGCTCTCTTCTTTTTTTTTTTTTTATTTAAGATTTTTAACTGGGTGTGGTGGTACACACCTTTAATTCCAGCAGAAGCAGAGGCAGGTGGGTCTCTGTGAATTCAAGGTCAGCCTGATCTACATAGTGAGGTCTAGGTCAGCTGGAACTCTTAATCATTGAGCCATCTCTCCAGTCCAGCATCCCCTTCTTAATCTGACTTTAGCAAATGCTGCTTCTCTTTCCAGGAGCACCCTTTACCAGTCATCCTTTCACAACTGGAATGACATTTACCCCAGGAGGTCTTTCGTACCAGACTGTGGCAAGGTGCCTATCCCAGGTTCTGCAGACCCTGGGCTATACCTACCACCACACAGTTCACTCTGAGTATTCCTCTCTTCCTCCATGCCCGGGGTAGGACTTCCAGGCTGGAGCTTTTTTTTTTTTTTAATCTTTTAAAAGAGACAGGTCTCCCTGTAGCCCCAGCTGTCCTGAAACTGGCTATGTAGACCAGGCTGGCCTCAAACTCACAGAGATCCACCTGCCTCTGCCTCCCAAGTGCTGGGATTAAAGGTGTGTGCCACCACACCTGACAGCTAGAACTTCTGAAAACCTGACTGATTGGAAATGAAACAAGGAATGGCCACACCCAGTGGATAGAGGCTACTGTAGCCCACATTCCATGGTCAACTTGTCTAAAGATAGCCATGCAGGGCAAAACCGAAACACTCTCCACCTGGAGTCCAGACAGGGTTCTTGTGAATGCTATATGGCCTCCGGAGGTTGGGAGACATTTCTGGGGACTGAGGGTAGACTTCTTAAACTCATTTAGATGGACCTGCCCACCCACTTTGAGGGCCAAGAACAACTTTCTTTTGGTTCTCTGCTGCCACCATGTGGCCATGATGGTAACTGCCTCCCCCCACCAATGCTTCCTTTGGGTGTAGATTTGGTTCTCAATAGTGGGGTTCACAGGAGTACCCTTTTGTTGCTTTTCATCTGTAGGTTCTGTAGGAGCTTCAGGCTAGGTGTATGAAGGAAGGTCAGGTAATGGGGTCCCATTCAGTGTTAGGTATAAGCATTCCCCAAGGTAAACTCACTGTGTTTGGTCCATAGCAGGCTTAGGACCTGCCCAACTACTCTGGCATCTTCTCACCATGAACAAATGCTAGCCACTTTACCCATGAGCTCAGACCCCTCTGAACACTGCTCCAGAGGGTTAGGCCTAGTCTCCTCCTCCAATCTAGAAATCACTTCAGTGAAAGCAGGGGTTTCTTTCCAACTGTAATATGACCACCTCATATTGTAGCTTTAAGTGACTCCCCTGCCAGATTTTTAAAGATTTGTTTTTACTTTGAATTATGTGTATGTGTATATATGCACATGAGTGCAGGTTATTGAAGAAAAGGTGTCAGATTCCTGGAGCTGGAGTTACAGCAGTTGTGAGCTGCCAGAGGTGGGTGCTGGGAATGGAATTCTGCAACAACAGTATATGCTCTCAACTACTAAGCCATCTCTCCAGCCTCCTCCCCCCTTGCAAGATTTTTTAACTGGAAGTTGAGAACCCCTGGACTTGTACACTCTGCCAGTTTCAACTGAAGAACAATTAATTATACCAGGTACTTTAACAAATTCTTCCCTTTGAAAATGTTAGTGCCTGACAGGTGTGGTGGTACCTGCCTTTAATCCCAGCACTTGGGAGGCAGAGGCAGGCAGATCTCTGTGAGTTCAAGGCCAGCCTGTTTTATATAGAGTTCAAGGTCAGCTGGGACTACAAGGAGACCCTGCCTCAAAAAAACTAAGAACTAGCAGCCAGGTGTGGCGCACGTCTGTAGTCCCAGCAATTGGGAGGGAGAGGCAGGCAGATCTCTGTGAATTCAAGGCCAGCTGGGGCTACAGGGAGACCCTGTTTAAAAAAAAAAAAACACTAAAAAATGAGGCAGGCAGATCTCTGTGAATTCAAGGCCAGCTGGGGCTACAGGGAGACCGTTTAAAAAAAAAAACACTAAAAAAGAAAGTCACAAAATAACATTTGCTCTCCCCCCCCAATTCTATGAGTATGAGTGTTTTGCCTACATGTATGTAAGTACACCCATGCATGCAATGCACATGGAGGCCACAAGAGGGCATTAGATCACCTGGAACTGGAGTTTACATTGTTAGCCATTATGTGGGTGCTGGGAACTGAACCCGGGTCCTTTCTAAGAGCAGTCAGTGTTCTTAACTGTTTAGCCATCTCTCCAGCTGCACATTTGCTCTTGTACATGGAATTTAAGGGTTAAATAAAAGGAAGAGTATCAGGGAGGTAGATGGGGAAAAGCGGGGAAGGAGGATAAGAAAAGGTAATAAAGGGGATGTGACCAAAGCAAATTATCATGTCATAATGAAATCTATGACATTGTATAATAAATACACACTAACAAATACACATAAAAGAAATTCCTTCTCAGCCAGTAAGCCATTTCTTCATAAACATAAAGTATTTT